GCGGTGAAGGCTGCAATTCTTGACCCTGGAGCCCAGCAGGCCAAAGTCAGGAGCAGAACTCCAGACCCCCCGGGCACAGTGTCACAGAGCAAGAGAGGCTGTTAAGGGGTGGGAGGGGTGGGGGTGGGGAGAAAGAAGGACCGTGTACTCCAGTAACTGTAAACAGCCATATTTTCAACATAATTTACTACAGGTCTCTGAAGTGTATATAAAACATTTTAGTGCAACATTTTACAAATAGTTTTCCTTTAAAAAAACAAACAAAAACAAATCAACAGCTCTCTACATCATGCATGGGTAGTTTTCTTACCCCACCTGTTTTTTTTCAACAATAAACGCAGAGAAACCATTGTTTGAAAAGAATATGAAAACCTGCTACAGAAACACCCTGATGAAAGAGGGTGCCGGTCGTATCCGTGTCCGGAATGGGCCTAGCACAGTGTAGTTTTTCATTAATGCAACATTGTAGCCGTAGGTAAATACGTCCAGAGAACCAGTTGGCAATTTTTCCTCTCCTGGTCCCAATGCACCGAGCTCCGGCAGGCCATGTGCAATGAGGTCTCCCAGCCACTGGAGGGCACCATTACCACTCATCTGACACCACACACATTTCCATAGAAATGGCCAAACAAGGTCCTGGGGATCTTCACAGAAAGCTGAAAAGCTCACCCTTTGATGGTATCCCCCAGCCCAACAGAAAATACACACGGGAAAAAAAAAATTACTAAAATACTGGCTTCGGTTTCTTTTCTTCCTTTCAAATTTCCTGTAACCGCTCCACATCTTTAATTGCGTGCATCACCTACTTTTCTATACCTGTGGGCAAGCTGGGCTCTTAGTAGTTACACAGCCAGTCCCAGCCCTCCGGCATCTTTCCCTTCACACAGAGGAAAGCCGGGCATCTTCCCTCAAGCACTCAGGCTACAGGGCAGGGGCCGATTTCCCACAGAAAGCCCACGCGCCTGTAATGAAGAAATGGGGCAAAGGACTGCCTCCTTCCCTCACCTCTGAGCCTGACTGTAGCCCCAAAGCGTTGCTGCAGCATACATAATACATGGAAATGAGCGTGTTAGGGATTAAGGTGTGGTGCCTACACAAGGTCTCAGAGGACAGTACTGGTGTGCGGGGAGGAAGAGGAGACCGGTCTACTACATAAGCCAGTCCGTCACCTTGCTTCCCCTGGGCTGCGGCACAGCAAGGC